CTTTGGTGCAGATGCTCTCAGCGTACATAAAAAGACAAGATATCTTCATCAAGAATCATAAGGTACAACACTTAATGATAGTCATAGGGTACAAATAAGCACTCAGCACTCAGGACCCGGAAAGCAGGCCACACCAGAAGAGGTTCCAAAAAATTTTGAAACCCGCCACTGGTCCTTGGATATGATTATTCTACACTATCATGCTCATATTTATAAAACTCAGTGCCTCTGTGAAAGGTAAGGATGACTACTGCGTTTGTGGTGCAATCAGAACATTGCGTGTGTTGAAGTTGTTTTAACGCAAACCAAAGATGCCTTTTAAAAAACAAGTTTACATCATATTCTTATGCATACCAGTGCTGTGTGTGAGGTAATTTAAGGTGGTTCTGACCAGTGTCATCGGCAGGAATTACAATTTTTTGTTCTTGCTAGGAAGGAAAAGGGAGAGAGGTTGGTGGATGTGGAAGATGATAGCATTGGTGTATCTACCAAATATTACAAATTTCCCAAGACTACCACACATTTTTGTATTGTAGTCCCACAAGAGAACCCTGCCCTCAAAACAAATCTCAACTCCCAAACAAGTGAAAAGAATAATTGTGTTGCATTTGAAGAGCTCCATATTCTTTTTACTGTGCTTGGTTGTCTCCTCTACAGGGCTTCTTCTGGATATGCTTGGTTCATTGCTGTATTATGGACAGGAGCCTGATCCTTCTTGCAGCCAATTAAGGACAAAGATAAGCTGGTCATGGCTAATTGCAATTTATGGCTGAATCACCTCTTTGCCTCCTGGATTTTGCAACCCAGATTTATTCCTGAAACAATTTTGAGTGACCATTAATTTTTTTAAAAAAAATCATTTACTTATATGCAGATTTAGATCTTTGGTAACAACCTGCATGCAACACTTGATGCAAATTATAAATATTATTTTCCTGATCAGAGTTTGATTATATGATAAGGGAATGGTTAAGGATATAGGCAAAACGTTGCTATTGTAAAACTGCTTCTGCTTGTGTTACTTCTGTTTAAGAATGCTACAAGTATAGGACTGCATTGTGCAAATGGAAATTTAACTCTGATGAGTTTTAAATATGTTTTTTTACTGATCAGAAAGTTTTATTATTTCTCTTTAAAGAGTTTGCAATATTAGGTGTGCATACAAGGCATAAGCCATACTGACTGCTTCAGTTGAGGCTGTCAAGTCAGCAACATAATTTTTCAATTGCTGCCCATGCTAGGATAAGTCAATGCAGCTAATGCCTTGCAGTTTTTTTGGGTGGGTGGGAAGTGTTGTGATGATAATGATTTTGACTGCATCAAAATTGTAAAGTGGCTTTGAAGCCTTTCCTGGAAATGGGGGTGTAAATCATTCTTTACTTTTTTATATAAATACAATGAGCTGAACAAAAATCATCATGTAGATTTCTGATTTGGCTTGGACCTATATAAGGCTATATATGGGACACGGTGGCTCAGTGGCTAAGACGCTGAGATTGTCGATCAGGAAGGTCAACAGTTTGGTGGTTCAAATCCCTA